GGTGAACATCGATGAGATCCTGGAATATGACCATGTCTTCAACGATGGTGTCGATATCAGTACTATCTCAGGTGATCGGCATCGTCAAGATGTCAAGACAGAGCGATACCAGTATTTATGCAAGGCGATGTGGCATGCAAAGAAGTTGCAGAACAGAGTACGCTATCAGATTGCCGCCATTCGTATCTCAAGGGAGGATGTCTCACTCGAAGAGGAAAGGCAATACTGGGCAAACCTCATGTATTACAGCACAGATGCACCGTCATTTCTGAAGCATGAACGTTGGATCGTTCCTTGTGCAAATCGAGCTGTTGCCTCTCACAATTCTGGAAGAGAGACTGTTCTTGAAGAGGATGTGTCAATATATCCTGTGTGGACTTCACATCTCATCCCAGAGAATGTGGCAATGCAGCTTGGAGGAAGCTTTCACATGACATCGCTTTCCAATATTGAGTCAATCATGAAACTAGGAATTGTCCCTGGTGGAACGGAGGGATATAGAGGTAGTGTTTTCTTCAACCACTTTGCGCCGTGGGATGATCGATCATCAAAGATTCTGAGATCAAGATGGCCAAGAGTGGGAATGCCCGTTTGCCTTTATGTTCCAATCATGACTTTGAGGAAGCTTGGGGGAAGAATTTCGGAGAATTCCTACACTGTTGTTTGTAGAGAAGTTCCATGGAGATGTGTACGAGGTGCTTGGTATTGGGACGACTACGTTCAGGCATGGAGGAGACTCCTGCTGGGAAGCACTGGAGAGCAAGTTGTTCTAGCGGCACATCATGGACTTTGGGTTGCTCAGAAGCATACCATCCTCGAGAGAGCCGACGAAGTCACGAAGTCAGCCTCGGCGACAGATGACAACGTCCAAAAGCTCGTGTCCCTTATCGATGAAGTACAATTCGATGACAATGGAGAGCTGATCGAGGACTCCATCAGTGAGGAAACTTGGGACGAAATCATCTCCAGAACATGTGAAGGGTATCGCAACGTGGATGGCAATATTTTGTGTCCATCATGTATGCATTTGACTTCTTCATCTTTGTCCGTGTGTCTATCTTGTCAAGGCAGGCTACTCTCGTGTGGTATTCGCAACACTGTCATTTCCGATTCACCCGTTGATCTTGTGAGCGACGATGAAGAGGAAAAGAAGGAAGAGAAGGAGCCTGAAGATGATGATCAAGATATCTTGGACCAGGCCACTATGGACGAGATCAGAAAGGCTTGGGAAGAAGACATCGCTCAAACTGAAGCAGCTGACGACGACGAGGACATGGACAATCTAGATCCTTCCAAACCGTCTGATGGTGCAGAAAACTTCAAGAGTGACAATGTCGAGACCCCATCTTTCAATGAGGACGAGATCGACTACGGTCGTGATTCTGATCTAGAAGATGAAGACGAACGAAACGTGATCATCGAGATCCAGAGGAGCACACAACAATATGAGGGGAAGAAACGTCAAGATGGTGAACCCGAGGATGAAGACGTCACCGACGACTTACATCCGGAGGCGAATCGACCGACAGATCGTGATGAACCGGGATACTATGCACAGCATGGAGCGACCGAGTTCAATCCCGAAGAAGGAAGAGACAACGAAGATCTCCCCATCTATTGTCGAGTACCGGAACCTCGAATCTATGCGCATCAAGAGAGAGCCTACTGTCAGGACGTCTCCATGAATGCATCGGGTTTGATGGATAGGTATGTGGTCAAATGTGTGCTGAACATGATCTCCCTGATGTACAAGAGCTACTATTGCACCAGCCTTACCGACTTCAAAGCAAATTGGAAAAGGAAGCGACTGGATGTGATAAGCAAGTTCGGTACAGGGGATTCCACTGAAATCGATGACGATGGGAGACCATTGGATCCAACAGATGACATGATGTTAATCTTTGCCAACGACAACAATATTACGACTGAGGAGGCCTGGCACCGATTCAGAGGAGAGCAATTCATTTGCAAGGTGGCACTCGTGATCCTATCATTTGGTCATACTCCGCAATCCTTCAAGAAGGAATATGGCAACTTCGAACACTCCACCGACTTGACTGACGCCCAGCTTGAGGAGTTGAAAGCGAAGAAAGCCAGCGCAATGACTGAATTGGTACAGAAGTGCATCCATGCGATTTATGGGTGTCGGACATATTCTTACTTTAGAACCGACGTTACATCACCCTACCACAAGGTGATCGATCCTCTGGACATCATGTACTCGAGAATGAAGAGCAAGTGGGAGAAGTCTATTCTGTTGATCATTGATCAACATGAGATCAGGTTGCCCCCACAAGCTCAGGAAGTCATAGAGTCAATGGCCAGAAACCCCAACGTTGGACATACAGAGAGATGGATGAGCGTGGTAGAACATAAGCATGTTCAAGCTCTTACCAATCGTCTAGGCTTTGGAGATAGGGCCAAGGAGATTCAGGGCAAGAAGAAGCAGGCAGCCAAGGCGACAGCTAAGTCAACATCAACGACTAAGTCTGAAGCGAAAGCAGCATCTTCGTCAAGAGCTGAGGCAAAGCCAGCATCTACACCCAGAACCGAGGCCAAGCCGTCGTCAGCACCAAGTGAGGAGCCAAAACCTTCAACAGCACCTAAGAGTTTCGGGCCCTCATCAGCAGAGGAGAACAAGGCGAAGGCTGCTCCAAAAACCAGACCACATGATAAATCACCATCCAGTGCTACCGATGTGTTTGAGCAAGCTTTGCAGGAAGATCTTGCCGCCAACGCACATGCAGCAGAAGGTACAACTTCTTCATCATCCCGAGGACATTCCAAAGGAGGAGGCCAATCTGGAACATCTTGGAGGCCGGCACTAACGCAAGAACGTCGCGAAGTACCTCAACCTTCTGAAAAGGGGAAGGGAAAGAGCAAGTCCAAGGGAAAGTCCAAGAAGGGAGAAGATGATCGGTGGGATGCTCAGGGCAGCTGGGATCATCGTGGATGGAGAGGTTATCGCCAGTGGTGATTTCTTTGAACGACTATGAGGATACCATGCAAACCAGGGAGGAAATCATTCACCGGATGTTTATCTGACCTGAAACGCTGTAAGTGTATCGTTGCAAATTCGGATTGACGATTTGATACCATGAGCATAATGGAAGGTAGACAGTCACCGACTGTCTCTCCGACTTGCCGTTCTGTAAGTGTATCCAAACCAAAACCTACATCTTTTGAGAAGTGTGAAGTCAGTTGCCGATGTGACATCTACGTGGAAGTCACCAGTTCGGATCTACATCAAAGCGATGCTCTTTTGAGTGGATACTGAGCGAGGCCCCGTGACTGTCTCACTTGTTCAATTCGATTTTCATAGGTTCTGAGCCATAGTTGCACACTTTATATGTAAAAGTCCGCTTTAGTCCAGCATGTTTCGTAGTATGAGCCTCATATGAGTCTCGCGGCAAATCATACAATTTCTTTTGTAGCACTTACATCCCTAAATTTTCGTGTGTGATCGGAACATATTGTTGCCGTTCACATGGGGGGTGCGAATGGAAGTGCAGCGACACGTACAGTGCAACTTGTACATATATATGTACCATATGTACTTTGGCTCAAGGATCAAGCGACTAGAAAAGGTGCGGTTTCCGTTCCGACGCTACGCCGCTTATGGACCGTCAGTGATAGCTTCAAACTTCGCTGATTAAGATCCACTCGCAGTTTTTCTTGTTAGTCAAAAAGGATCTCTTTCCTTTTGGCATGTGTTAAAAGCTTGCTGAGTGCGTATGTGCACACCGTCAGATCTTTCAGAGCTCGAGTCCTTTCATTTCCCTCCAACCTGGCGATGGCCCATGGCCTCCAACCTAGTGATGAACAAAGTCCTATTCCGCAACTCTGGATTCTTCTGAAACTTTTCTTCAACTATTTGGTACTCTTCGGCAACTACTCTTCAGAAATTATTCTTCAGAAACTATTTCGCGATTTTCAGAGACTCTTCCGCGATCTTCAGAAACTTTATTGCATGCTTTTGAACATATTATTCAGAACTTTTACAATATTGTAAGCAAATTGCATGAAGGAGCACTGGGTGGGTGGGTGTGTTATTGACGTACCTTGTGACGGCTACAGTATATATATATATATATGCCAATTTTGCGATCTGCAGAAACTTTTTCGTGCAGGTTTGATGTTGCTCTTCGACTCTTCGTAGTTTCCGAACATTAGTTTCTGAAGAAAACCGTAGAGTTCCGAAGATTAGTTCCCGAAGAAAACCGTATAGTTTCCGAAGATCACCTTTCAGTTTCCAAATAAAACTTTGAGCGATCGACTCCAACCTAATGGCGATGGCCTCCAACCCAAGAGCGGTGGCCTCCAACCTAATGGCGAATGACTCCAACCTACTAGCGATGGCCGCATGAGGTAGACCATTCTGATTTATATATGTTAAGCAGAATGAAACGCCGAGCGCCCTAGCGGAGAAAAGCGGGACACCAATCCATTCTTTGACGTTTGGAAACAAAGGTTGAAAAGAGGTTTGTTGTGATGGAGCTTGTGAGTACTCTCCATGTTCCCACGTCACCTCTCGCATGGTTGGCAACAAGAGGTAATGCCCAAAATGCCTAAAACTGACTGAACAAGTAGTGGACGAACAAGCCCCAGGAAGAGACTCTCCAAGAGACTCTTCTGCAGACGAGTTTTAAGTGTATAGGTTTGGCTCTGAGGCTTTGGAGAGTCTGGCTACTACTTATGCTTTCTTTTCAGAAGGCTACTACTCATCAGCACATCGAGCAGCAACAACGAACGAAACTTTGTCCCCCTGGTTGGGAAGTTGCAGTTTGCTGTAATAGATCCAGCCCAGTTCTGAACCCATGACCGCTTCTAGTAACAAGAAGCTACTAGGGGCTCCTGGCATCGCTACTCGGAACAAGAAGCTACTAGGGGCTCCTGGCCTTACTACTAGGAGCAAAGGACGCTACTAGGGGCATGGATCGCAAGAATATCCGAAGGCAAACGCCATCGCAGAATGTTTGTCACTGCTTGCTACGACTGAGGATTATGCTCGACAGCTACACCAAATGAAGACGCCAGACGTGGCAATCACTGAAGGCCGAGATTCGTACTCGTTGTGTGGAATTCAACCGAAGCATTTCAACCTAATTGCAATGGCCTCCAACCTAAAAGCGCTGAAAGTCATCCAAATGTGTGGTAGCAATCTGAAGGCCAACCCACGCTAAGTCTCAGCCGAGCGAATTACCTACACCACAGGGTGCTTTCTTTTTTCAGTATATATATATATATTTTAAAGCATTCCAGATGGTGTGTCACACTAGATGGTAATGACACTTATTGCCATTGCCTGATAAACTACTTCGAAACACGCAGAAGTTCCGTGGTAAGTGTTGCACCTCTAGCGCTTTGAGGCTCACAAGGTGTGGGCGACACCTTACGTCAAAGAATCCGCGGCATTGTCAGCTCAGTTTTCTTTGAGGCTGGGATTCTCAATCTTTGAAAGGCACAAGTTGACAGTCGTTTTTTTCTAAATCTTTGCTTCTTGCAGATTTGACTGAACACTATGCCTGTCTCCTTTCGATTCGGAGATTGGTCAGATGAACATCATCATGTGAAGAGTAGAATATCTTGGATAAAGTTTCGCAGAAGTTGAACAGATTAGTTGGATGCCACCAACTCCCTGACAATTCATTTGATTACAATTCATTTGATCATTCTCTTGGAACTGTGACATTTCTTTGGAAGGCCTTGGCTGGTTGCATCATCCTCTCAAACGCTGCCACTTGTCTACAGTCTACATCCTGCGATTCTGGTCTCACAGGTGTCACCACTGCTGTGTGGTGTTTGTATTGTCCAAGTTCAACCTTCCTTTTGGAATCTCAGGTGGTTATCGGCTTGGAGGCAAGACGCTACGAACGGGGCTCCTGGCCTTACTAGGAGCAAGAACGCTACTAG